CCACACCCAAACTCCCACCCACACCCTCACACACACACCAAGATTATATGTTTTCTGCATCAAGAGCAATGTTCTTGTCAGCATTCTGCGTAAAGAAAGACATGTCGGAGTATCGAACGAATGTTTTTTTATCGATGCAAACAGAACGTGAAAATGAAATGAATTAATGTAATGGAGCAACAAAATTTAACGGTAGACGATGCTGCCGAACTACGTTTTTCCGCGACAGAACGATTTGAGTGTTCTTGAGGGTGATGCATGTATAAAGTTGTGTTGATAGAACAACTCATTACTTTTTCAAGCGAAATCAAAGAAGATTAAGGTGAGTCTGTGAAAATGAAATAGGTGAATAAAATTATGCTAGATAACTCCTCATTAAAAGATTCCCATATCTTTCCCGTATTCTAAGCAAATAGATCAATTAATTCGTTGCAATGAAAGTGCACAGTTCAATATTATTATTCGCAAAAAATCGTTCATACCCACTGCATTGAAATATCTCATTCATCTGTAATAACAAATATTGTCAGCTTCCAGTAGTTCTATAGCATATGTTAAGACAATCTCTTCAAGATCCAGATGTGAAACACGATGGCAATGCTCATTTTTTAAATTAAGAGGTTTAGCAACGTATCATTTCTTTGATCACTTATTATTCACTATCAGTTTGTGTCCATGATAAACTAGGATGGCGATTGTAATATATCACGAGAAATTAAAAACAATAAGAGCAATAAGCATTTTATTCCCAACTTCTAGTTCACATATAATATCAGACATTTTCATGTTAAGAAGGGAAGTAAAATTACGAGAAACGTGCATTTCAACTTTCTCGCTGTAGAATTTTAATCGTGATTCGCAATTGAGTTGTAGTACACTTCGTTTTTTTGACTTTGTCTGTCAGATCAATGAAGAAAGGATCAGATTTCTTGTCATCTTCAGAAGTATTAGAGTTAGATCGTGTTTCACAAAACACTTTTTTCACGACAGAGATAAAACTGATATTAGCATACATCACATATGCTGACTGGCTAAGTGACAGGAAGTCTATCACTCATTTGTTGGTGTCATCTGTTCACCTTCTTGTTTGAATCCAACATTAATTAATTTGATAATCCTATTATGAAGATTCCTTTTCTATTCTTTCGTCAGAACGTACGCAAATGGGACAAGAGTATAAGTGGCTGCGTCCCACTAGAATTTCGCCAATATAACTTTCTCAACTGAGAAGAATCTGGCAGACTTTCGAATGGGTGTCAGTGTGCGTGTGGATTATAGAATAAATACCTGCACCCACACCCTCAATCAAATAATTCTTTTCTTTTAGATAATTATGGCGAGTGAGAATGATAGTAAATATTTAAAACGATGTTTACAAAAAACAATTGAAGCAGTTAGTAAAACCATTGATGCATTAAAAGTTACAAATCCCGCTGATTCAGAAAATTTACCTCTGGACACTGATAATAATACATTTAGTTTAAATGAACAAGAAAATAAATTAATAGATGATCTTAAAACAACTATTGAAAATCTGTTAAATGATAATTTATTACGTTCATCTGGTATATGTAAAAAATATTTATTGAATTTATTACATCAATATGAATATGATGATCAAGAAAAAAAATTCAAATCTTTTTTTAATCAAAGTATTCTTTCTGCATTTCAACGTGATCTTCAAGGTATGTTAAGTTCAATTGATGCTTTCCTAGCTGCATGGAATGGAGATTTAAATGTTGTTGAAGAATTTATTAAAAAATATCCAACTTTTAAAGATAAACCTGGACTTTGGGGGACAACATTATTATATTCTTCAGCAAAAAATAATCGAATGAATATTGTTAAATATCTTATTGAAACTGCTAAATGTTCTATAAATGCACAAAATGAACAAGATCTCGAAAAAGGTTTATTAACAACAACATCAACATCATCAGAAAGTATTAGTTATAATCCAACAGCTGCTTCAACTGCACTTCATGGAGCCTGTTTTAATGGACATTTAAATGTTGTTAAATATTTAATTGAACATGGCGCTGATTATTCAATTAAAAATCAAGCTGCAGAAACACCTATTATGAATGGAGAACGTCATAAACATATACAAGATTTTTT